CTAACACCAGGTCTTTCAAAATAAAGTCTCATTCCTACAAATCTGCCAAAAACAATCATTCTCAGCAGAAATTGATGTTTCCATTGCTTTCAAAGAAGTGCCAAAATCTCCATGGTTAAGATTTTTTTCAAAAGAATGTTTCTATAGAATAGGAGTAGAAGCATTAGAACTTTTCTTCTCCCTACCTTTACCAAAGTTAATTCTGACTAAATTAGAGGAGGGAAAATTGAAGGGAAAGAAGAGGGAGGTAGGAGATGGTGATGAAGGTATGGGGAGAGACATCTGAAATAGTTCTGACCTCCCTGATTCTGGGATGAATTGCAGATGGCTAAGCCTGAAGTGGACATGAGTATAAAAAAAAGTAGAAAAGAGCCTGCTAATTTCTTCTTTGAGTTTATCCACCACTAAGATATTCCCCATAATCAAATATCAAGATTTCATTTCAGAATTTTGACCAAGAAGAATCAGCTTAATTTGAAATTCAGTCAGCTAGTCACCAGGTAAAATCATTTCTCTAAAAATTATGCTTTATTTGAGGAAAGTGGGAAAATCCTTATCTAGAAAAAGAATATCTCTTCCAGTTTGTCTGAACTTAACTAAGGGCAACAGTGAATTTAAGACAAAGGAGTCCCCTGGGAAATAGATAACTGTTAAAAAAAAAAAAAGATCCAGCCTATACCTGGTACAGCAAGCAACTTTATGATTATTTTTTCCCTTCTGCTTAGTATTTGTTAGAGAATTTCAATTCAGTATGGAAATAAAAGGAGGGAGAGCAGCTTGTAAACAGTGAAAGTTCAGAATGCCTGTTGGGTTATCCAATAGTGTTTTCTGTAAAGTTGAGTTGGTTGTGTTTATAGGATCTGGGTGCCTTTTCTTGGTAATAGATACAAAGCATTGTTGATAGGTGTGTTAAGCTTTTTCAAAAGGAAAAGTTCTGATTCTGATGTAGATGTATTATGGAAGACAGTGTAAATTGCTTTATTGGACAGTTTCTTTGGTGTATGACTGTCCCCTTAAAGAAAATGATGCTTCCAGTGCTGGGATATGTTGAATGTTTTCCTTCTGAGCTCATCTGAGAGTGAGAAAATTTGGCGTTCTAGTCCCTGGCTCTGCCACTAACTGGCTTGTAACATTGGACAAATCGTTTGATGTCTCTGGGCCTCAGTTTCTCCATCTGTATCATGAAGGCATTTTAGTCAGTGTTCTCTAAAGGCCCTTCCCAACTGCTAATAGTCTATGATTCTATGAAGATGCCATGACATCCTAACTCTCTTCTCCCTTCTTTAGTTTTCCAGGCCTAAAATGCAAGTTCACTTATAGGTAATAATATGGCATATTTCTTTTTAAAGCATGTTGGTTTAGTGCTGTGTAAATTATATAATAGGGTGCACAAATTTCTCTCACTCTTATTTAGAGAAATGGAGAGATTGGCCTTTAAGTGGAAAGAGGATATTTGCTAGTTTAGGTGCGTGCCTCAGAATTGTTCTTTCAAGAGAATGCCAGAAGATGGATAAACATTCAATAACCATTTTCTTTAAGATAGCTCTTGGGAATTTAAGGTTGTTGTTTTTTTTTTCCAGTGCACTGAAAATCAGCTTTGTGACTGCAGGGTGAGGAGGAAACTTATGAGTTATTCTTTTCCAAAGAAGCCTAACAGAAGATGCTGACGGCCTTCAATGGCTCATAGCTCTGTGGGTTTCTGCTCTGCCATATGCTTTGAGCATGGGGGATATGACTCAGTGACAGTGGCTGTTTGAGAAGCAATTGAATTTAGAAAAACAAACAAACATGAAATTATTCCTGTTAGGAGAGCAATCCTGAAATTTTAAACAAAATTTCATAACTAGTTGATTGACTATTGACTGTAAGTCTTTATGAAACACCTCTAAATGAGATGCATATACATTTCTGATCCAACTATTTCATATATCTGTTTCCATTGCATGGGAAATTTCTAATGGATATCACTACCATAAAGCTGCCTTACGAACATAAGAAAGTTAAAATAATACGTTCTCCATAAATCACTGGTTTAGGTTAGCATTGTTAAACTGCTTTTGTTTCTGTATGCTAAGAATTCTTATCTTTAGTCTCAAAATGAAATAACAAATAAAATATTTCTTCGTAGCAGTCCATTGACTCTAGAGTAGATTGGTAGTGGGACACCGTTCAACCCTTTGCTCACCTGAGTGGGCAGCATTATAGGCAGAACCAACTGTGTTTAATTCATTTTAGAGTAAACAAGTATTTATTGAACACCTTATATGTGCTCAGCACTTCTAGGCACTGTGGGGCAGGGGTGGGTAGGGGTGGTGAGGAAGAGATACAAAGAAATATTTGACCTGATCCCTGCCCTCAAGGAGCACACATATGCATTGGGTAGTCTAATACCTTTGAGCCCAACATTCTAAACAGTAATATACAGTACAGTTTAATCCCCTGGAGTTTGCAAAAGATATGAGCTATTTTAAACCTTATTGCCATCATGAGTACTTCAAGGGGCCCACGACTGTCTTTGTTTTTATTGTATCTCCAGCATTTAGTGTAGTGTTTGGCATATGGTAAGCAATTAATAAATGCCTTTTCATTCATTCATTAATTGTTCATTATTCATTTGTTGCTTTTGAATGTTCACACCCAACTTCTACTATAATATCTAATCCTTCATATGTAGAACTCAGGATTCAAAGGTTTATGGTTGCCTTTTACTGGCATAGCTTTTTGGTTTGGAGTGTGCTCTGTGGCTCACTTGCAACTGTAAAAAGATATGCCAATCTTGGGTGGAGTTATTCAGTTTTACATTCTAGCCTGGCCTGTCTTTTAGTCTAGATGAGAGCAAGCCTGTGGTAGGGTTCTTTATGGTTAATGGTCCTCTTAACAAAAAATGGGAGAGGGGAGCATGTAGTTAATTATAGCTTGTCCTAAGGTGATAGCGTTTTTTATTATTATTATTATTATTTATTATTATTATTATTATCCTTATTTCTGCATCTCATTGGCACAGGTTAGAGAATCTGAGGAAAAAGAATGAATAATTTTTGGATGACTCAGATGCACCACGCTGGACAGCTCCCAGCCTCTGTGAGTCTCTCTGGGCTCCAGGAAGGTGAGGATGGGAGTGAGAAAAATAGTCACTCCTTGCACCTACCAAAGGAGCCTCTAGGAAGTTCAGTAGAGAAGGGTCTATGTATGCAAAATCTCCCATCAGCGGCACTTTTGACCATTGTTTGGAAAGGCATGAGGAGTAGGCAGGCAGGTGGGGAGAAATCCTCATAAAAGGGGAGGGGGGTGGATTTCATTTTATTAAGTTCCTTTAGCCTCTTTGTGTTCATGGGGGACAAGGCCTTTCTAAATGTATACACATGTACCCCCCAGTGCTGGGGTTTAACAGTCCCACGGAGCACTCTGCTGGTCAGATCACATCAGGAATGTTGTTTCCCATTCTGGACAGCACATTTTTAAGAGGGACCATGACAAACCAAAGCATACCCAGAGGAAGGCAGCTAGCTAATGAAGGGTCTGGAAATTAAGCTTGATAGGGAATAGTTGAAGGAACTAGGGGTATCAACCCCGAAGTATGGAAAATTAAGGGGAGACATGAAACTGAGAATATTTAAAAGGGCTTTCACATGAAAGGACCAAAATAGATCCTTCTTGTGCTGCTGTAGGGGACCAAACTAGGACCAGTGGGCATAAGTTGCAAGGTGGATTTTGGCTCAATATAAGAAAGAACTTTCTAACAGTTGAACAGACTGCTAGAGGATGGACTGCTTCAATAAGTAATGCATTCCTTATCCCTGGTAACTATTGAATCACAGGGTAGATGACCATTTAGTAGACACATGCCTAGTGGGCAGCTTGGTGGTATGGTGGAAAGAGTACTTGATCTGGACTCTGGAAAACCTGAGTTTAGATCCAGCCTCAGACATTACTTAACTCTGTGATCCTGGGAATGGCATTTAACCTCTGTCTCAGTTTCCTTATCTGTATAATGGAGATATTAATCACACCTATTTCCCAGAGCAGTTGTGAGAATAAAAGTGATGCAATATTTATAAAGTACTTTACAAAACCTTAAGGCACTATATAAATCCTGGCTATTATATTATGTTGGAGGAAGGATACCTGCAGCAGGTGGTAGATTGGACTAAATGACCCACAAGGTTTATTCCAGCCTTAAGATTCTATGACTGTGAAATATGGTACAGGGCTGCAATTTTAGGTTCTCATTAGGTATAAAACAAAATGAAACAAAGAAAAACAAAGACCAAAAAAAAAACCCAAACCCAAAAAACTAGTGACTAATAAGTTCCTTACTCAATATGAAGAAAAAAGAGGAGTTCCTCTAATCGCCAAGATTTTGTGTGACCAGGGAAAAGTACTAAATACCAGTTCCATTTGTGTAGAACGTACTTATTCCCTGAAGAATTTCTCAAACTTCAGGAAGCTGGAAGGAATGAAAAGGAACTATGGCAGATTAGAGTTCTAATCCTATCACTTTCTGCCTGGCCTCAGTAAAGTAGGTACTGAGCCTTAGTTTTCCTATCTGTAAAGTGGAGATAATTATAATTGCCCTCCCTGCCTCAGAGTTGTTCTGAGGTTCAAATGAAAGAATCTCTTGGAAAGCACTTAATAATTTGGGGGGGGGAGCCCTTTATAATCAGTAAAATGCCATATAATATAAGGTACATTATGTCATTGCTTTTCCCAAGTTAATGTTATTGACCATGGTATTGAGCACACATGGATTTACAGGAGGCAGTATGAAACAGGAGAAAGAATACTTATTCTGGAATCAGAAGATTTGGATTTATAGGCTGTCTCTGATGCTTACTACCTTTGTGACTTAAGCAAGTTTTTGCCTCAGTTTCCTCATCTGCAGAATGAGGGGGTTGGACTAGATGACAGCTAAGGTCCCTTCCAGCTCTTGGTATATGATCCTGTGACTTTTAAAATATATATTTTTTAAAATTCATACTGTCTTGATTCCCTTCTCCTAGGTGAGCGACCCTTTCCTTGCACGTGGCCAGACTGCCTTAAAAAGTTCTCCCGCTCAGACGAGCTGACCCGCCACTACAGAACCCACACCGGTGAAAAGCAGTTCCGGTGTCCTCTGTGTGAAAAGCGCTTCATGAGGAGTGACCATCTGACCAAGCATGCCCGGCGTCACACTGAGTTCCACCCCAGTATGATCAAGCGATCTAAAAAGTCCCTTGCAAATCCTTTGTGAGACCTGGATGTACCAGGGGAGGTCAGGACAGCGAAAAAGACAAAAAAAAGAAAGAAGGAAAGAAAGAAAGGAAAGAAAGAAAGAAAGAAAGAAAAAAGACCCTTAGAGGCAAACAGACAAATGGGGAAAAAAAACACAAGCCCCAGAAGTGGCCCACTTTTCAGCACAGGAAGGCAATTGCTGTACAGTCAACATTCAGAGGTTTCTCTCCTTGCATTTTTTTTAAGCACATATACCTGAGGTTGCAGAGTCAACAGTCTTAAACCATCTCTGATTAAGGCGGGAGAGCAGATGCATTGGGGGGGGGGGGAGGGAGAGGGAGGGATTGAGAGGGTGGGCTCAGGGGAAAGGGGTAGTAATTTAAGGAATCAAAACACTGGTGTACATATGTTTGACTGGGTGAGTCGACCTGTGGTGATCACATAGTGATTCCAGGGCCATTCTGCTTGCTATCTCTCTCAGAATTTTGTTTTCGTTTTCCTTTTTGATGTATACGCTGAGTGTGCTTAAATTTCCTTAGCAAGACCACTCTCTGAATCACGTTAATTTAGGAAATAAAAATGGATAACACAGCCTTCTCTTACGGAAGCAAGATCACATCTACTACAGCATGATCACCCCTCAAAAGACTGGAAAACAGAGACAACTCCTAGGCGGTGGGTATGCAGACATTCAACTTCCACTAAGCTAAAGACAAACCTTTCTCTCATAGGTTATGCTAAGTTCAACCCCTTTACAACTTTCTTTATATGAATTCTTCTTTTTGAACCCAGGCTGTACTTTTATTTGCTGTTACAAAAGTCAAGTGAATTAAGCACATATTTTAAAGTTGAGATCAAAGATCCCCTTTGGCATCATGTTATAAACCTGCTTATTTAATAGATCTATGCCATTTGTTGCCAAGTACAGGCTAGGAAATCATGATCAAGATGGGGTCACTGGTATGCAAGCAGCTCAGATCTGAATTTAACTCTACTAACTTGGTCAGGGTTTCCTATCCTTTCTGTTCACATCATCTTACTGTACCATAATGCCACGGATGGGCAGGGCTTTTCCTCTGTTGTGTTTTGTTTGAATGGGTGCCTGACAGCAGCTACGTCTTAAAACCTGCTGGTGGGTTAAAGGTCTCTTCTTTCCACATTCATGTAAAACCCCCACTCACAGGAGCAAGAGTTATTAAAAAAAAAAGGGAAAATTGAGCAGAGATCTAGAAAGATAAATATACTCAGCAGGTGATGATGATGAAAATTGCTAAGGTGATTTCAGAGAGCACCCTCATAGCAGCCACTTTTAGAGAGCATAGGCAATTGGATTACTGTACCACCCTGAAAACATATCACCATATTTTTTATGGCATAAATTTCACCACTACATACCTTGTACTGAACTTAGGTGTCTACGAAGGCTAAGAACCACTATGTCAACAGTAGAGCACGGACCTAAAAACTGCATTTTTGGCCTTTAAAGTTAAGTGGCCAGAAAAAAAAATTAACTGCTTTTTTAGATTGAAACAGACACCTCAAAGGAGGAAAAATAGAAGCGAGGTGGGGAAATGTTTACATTTTTTTTTTTCAGAAATAAAACTTTCTGAGCATTTTGTTATCAGATCTTTAAAACAGGGAGCTAAGGTACACACTCTAACTTATACATGTTTGTAGAGCTTGTCATGTAAGATTAGGGTGCATGCCTATAGTGAACACATTATTTTACCTGACAGAAGCCTGCTTCTAATGCAGAAGCAACAGCGGCATGAGGCTCCCAGAGAGGGGGAGCATCAAAGTCGCTTGCTTGGTCTGCTTACCAGTGTTGTGTTTGTAGTTCTGTAAGGAGAACTGCTTTTTAACATTGGGACTTGGAATAGTCCAAGGAATTAAAAAAAAAAAAGGAATGAATTTTCCCCAGGGAAAGCATGTCAGGAAAATAATGAACACTTTCTACCTCTGTTTCAGCTTTTTGAAACACTTATTTTAAAACCAAACTTTCATTTCTGTGTCCAAACTGAGTTAGAGACATTTGTTCTTCCATATGAAATAGGCATGTTGCCTGTTTCCTGCTGAACTCCTAGAATGATTGTGCTCACTGACATTCTGCATGTGGCCTTTGGTGACTCAGGAATTAGTGGTTGCCTAGCAACTCACTAACTTCCAAAACCTCATCTTCCTCCCTCCCCCCAGAAAGAAATTAGGGAAAAGAAGAAAAAAAAAGCCAAGTCAAATCGACACGATCCTTCTAAAAGTCTGCTTGTGGCTTCTGTCTAGCACTTCTGTGGACAAATGCAGCACTTGTTAAAATAAAGATGCACAATTTACTTCCCTCCCCTATCCCCCCAAAGTTGCTACTTAACCTTTTCAAGTTGTAAAACACACATTTGATATTCTCTTACCTGTTACCATGACAAACCGGGTATACTCAAGGCTACTTTTTATTCTTTGTGATAAATCCTGTTTTAAAATTCACAAGACAGGAACCAACATCCTGATTAGAATGACTATATCTTGATATAGTTCAAATAGGATTACTAGAGTTCACTGAACACTAAAACTATGAAGTAATTACTTTTTATATTAAAAAGACCATGGATTTAACTTATTAAAAATCCAAATTCAGGATAGTAATTTTTGTTTACTTTTTTAACCAACTGAATTTTTGAAAGACTTGCAGGTGTTAAAAAGAAAGAAAAAAAGTGTTTTATCTAATAATACTGTATGTAGTTGTCATTCTGGGAAAACAGTAGTTTTAGCGTTAACTCCTCTCCTTGATTAGGGGGGGAAAAGCCCTTCCTCATGGTGGAAAGATGGTGTGGCTTAAAGGTATAGCTTACATCATGCTTCTTTTGAGAACTATACTTGGTAGCTTATAATTACAGAAAACCGATTAGTTGTCAGTTTGCAGATAGATTTAGCACAGTACTCATCGTTCTGGATAGACTGTTTCTTTCACTACAGATAAATGATCTGTAACACTGTAAAATACCAATCTTGACAACTGTTTAATCAGTTTTATTTTTGTACAGTATTAGTGACCTAAGTTATTTTGCTGTCCCATTTTTTTGTAAATCAAAATGAAAATGGAAAAAAAAAGAGAAAGTATCCTGACAGTAGGGATTTTGTACATATGTATATAAGTTGTCAAATAAACAATAAAATGGTATGAATGGATTGACTGATCTGAGCCATGGTGTGATGGGAAGGCCCAGGTCTCAGCTGTTGTAATGAAGAAGGCATCGTATCCATGGCTCTGGAAGCATTATTTACAGTAGTTATGAAGGTCACCTTGACTTTTGTACATTCCATTGTAGGAAGTATTTTGACAAATTGTTCATATTTTGAGTTTTATTTCTATTTAAGGAGGTAGGTGGAATGGAGGCCACCACAACTATGGTATGAGCTGGAGGGAAAATATATTCTCCTATCAACATTACTCCTCCTTGGGAATGTAAGGTCATCAGCACCAGTCAATGCTTATCAAACTCATAATTCTATGGTGATGTGCTTGGCACCCTACAGAAAAGGATCCATAGACCTCTACCCTGTCCTCTGGAAGGTCACAGTCTCACCTCATTTTTGAACAACACTTTACAGTTTACAAAAGCTCTGTCATATACATTACTTAGCTCTTACTTAGATCTTAGAGACTTGGAGATATCTAATCTTGTCACAGACCCCTTTGGCAATCTGGTGAAGCCTATGGGACCCATCTCAGAATAAATGCATAAAATGAAATACATTGGCTTACAAAAAAAGCTATATTAAAATATAGTTAAATATTTTTTTAGTTAATAGATGCTAGGTTCTTAGAGGTTCTTCAGGGTCCTGATCCAGTCCCTCACCCTCATTTTATACATGAATGAAGAAATTTAGGCCCAGAATGACTGACTTGCTCAAGAGCACACAGGAAATAATCTTTAGAGTTTAGGATTTGAACCCAGGTTCAGGGACTCCAAACTAAATGGGCTTTACACTATGTCAGGTTGCATTTACTCAAAATGCTTTGAAGTAAGCAGGACGGATTTTCATATGTTCATTTTCAGAAAAGGGAAAACCGCCCAGAGAAGGTTGTCCAGAAAGTTACAGAGCTAAATCTTGTTGCTTCTAATCTGGAATCCCCTTCCAATAGGAATAGGCCCCAAGTCTCATCTATCCTTTGTATTTCCCACTTGCCTAAACTGAGCTCAACAAATATTTGTTGAATGAATACAGTACCACAATGTTGTCTTTTAACTAATGGCTCCAATCTGTACAGCTTTCTTAGTTAGCTCTGAGCTGATCATGATAAAATTTTTAGTCACTTTCTGATTTGCTCAGGAAGAGAGGGCACAGTTGGGTGGGAGGGAATGTCCATTGATAAAGATACAGATTATAAATTGATTTGCTAAGGGGCCTCAGGACAGTTAAATAAACCATCAGGTTGATAATATGGCTGTAAAGGTACCACAGAGCTGATCACTGAGATACATTAAACATGACATAATTAGAATTGGGATTAGGGAGTTCCTTGTCCAGACTGGACTGAAGAGGATCAAGCTTGTCAGTCCTTCTCCGATCAGTCTGTGGAGGCTTTGTAGGAAGCAGATTTCAGGAGATAAGAGCTGACATTTATGTAATGCTCTAAGGCTTGCAAGTGCTTTTACATAAAATCTCTCATTGGAGGAGAGTATGTAACAACTCTGTGAGGTATAGTGTATCGTAGGTATTATTATCCCCATTTTTCAGAAAGAAGGGTTTACACCAGGATTATACAACTAGGGTCAGAAACAATTTGAACCCAGGGCTGTTTCCACAACACAAACGCCGTTAGAGTCTTGAAAAAAAAATGGTATTTTGGATAGAGAGTACCACTTTGGAGAAAGCTAAGAAGTTAGAGTAGAATGAGCCGGTGGAAAAAATAATTCAACATTTAATAAGCAAATCATATGGTGTTAAGCAGTATTGAGAGTATAAAAAATTGGTCCACACTCAAGCTTAGAATGTAATAAGAAAGGTAAGCTAGGTGAAATAAAATTATAATAAATGGTGGAATCTAGTAAGCATTTCAGGAGGAAAGAATTGGCAGGAGCAAAACCAAAGCATGTTCAGGAGAGGCCAAATAGTTCTCTTTAGATGGAGCTTTGAGAGCTGGAAGGGTCCATAGTGATCATCTGGTTCAACCTCCTCCTTTTACAGATGAAGGAACTGACACCAAAGAGGTTAAGGTATATGCCCAAGGGCACAGAATGGAGAGGCAGAATTTTAACCTTGGTCTTCTGACTCCCAAGTCTGAAGCCTGACACCAGGTTGCTGTCTTGCTCTCTCTCTCTTTTTTAACCAAAAATCTACAAAGACAGTAGAAGTTGGATTAAGGGAATGAACCACTGGATTTATCATTGGGGGGGGGGAGGCTAGGCAGTGGGGGCTAAATGACTTGCCCAGGGTCACACAGTAAGTGTCAAGTGTCTGAGGCTGGATTTGGACTCGGGTCCTCCTGATTCCAGGGCCAGTGCTCTATCCACTGTGCCACCTAGCTGTCCCTGGATTTATCATTTCAAAGAAGAAAATTTAGAATAAATATATAAGGCATTCCAGGCAACTCCTTAAGACTATTATGTCTCAGTAGAGGTGCTGATTTTTACTGAAAGATAGGGTTCCTCACCAGTAGTTCCCTCTACCCATGAAATCACAGGGTTTGTCCCCTTCCCAATATTCCCCTCAAAAGGATTACCTTGGAGATCAAGTGATCCAGCCCTCATATTTGATAGATAAAGCAAAAGGAGATCTAAAAATATTTAGTGACTTGCCCAAGGTCACCGCCCAGCTGATAATGGATCTGGGTCTAGAACCCAGATTATACAAAAGAAAGGAAGGAAACAAACATTGATTAAGCTCTACTATGTGACAGGTACTGTGCCAAGTACTCTTACAATATGATCTTGTTTGATCCTCATAATAACCTTGCAATGTAGGTGCTACTTTTGTCTCCATTTTACAGTTGAAGATCCAGAGGCAGCCAGAGGTTAAAAGTGACTTGCCCAGGGTCACATAGCTAGTAAGTGTCTGAGGCTGGATTTGAACTCAGGTCTTCCTGACTCCAGTCCTGGCATTCCATCCACTGGGCCACCTAGGTGCTTCTAGGTTCTAGGTACATAGTGACTGGGCTTAAAATCAGGAGAACATGGGTTAAATAATAATAGCTAACATTTATATAGCTCTTACTATGTGCCAAGCATTGTGCTAAGCACTTTACAATTATTTCATTTGATCCTCATGTCAATCCGAGAGGTAGGTGCTATTATTTTCCCCATTTTACAGATGAAAGAACTGAGGCAAACAGAGGTTAAGTAACTTGCCCAGAGTCACACAGCTAGTAAGTGTCTGAAACTGGATTTGAATTTGTCTTCCATGCTCCGGGTCTGATGTTCTTCCCCTGACATTAGCTGTGTGACCATGAACAAGTCACTTAAACTCAGTTTCTTCATCTGAAAAAGGAGGATAATAAAAATAACTTTTAGTATCTCCTCACAGGGTTGTAGTGAGGCTTAGAAGAGTAAAGTATGCTATAAATGCAAGTTATCATTTTTAGTACTGTCATTGTTACAGTGGGAATTAAGACTGGAAAGGTAGTCTAGGTTAGATTTCAGAGGGGCTTGGTACAGTGGACAGAAATCTGAATTTGAAGATATATTATCTGGGTTCATATCCTGGCTCTGCTATTTAATAACAGAGTGACCTTGGACAAATCATTTCTTCTCTTCTGTTTTCTAATGTATGAAAGGACAAAGATAAGCCAGATAATCTTTAAAGTTTTTTTCAAGTGTAAAGTCCTGTGATTTTATAATTCCCATGAAGATGCTCATTGCCTTAGTATATTTTTCTCACCTGGAATTTCATTAGAAATTGAATATTAGAGCCACGTCTTTGGCCTCCTGATCTCTACTAACTCCTACCCCTAGAGCTCTAGTGAATCTGGAAAATGCAAATAAAAAGTTTATGGGACGATGGCTTTTTATTCTATCTGAAGTATGTGGCAAAATCCTTTCGCTCAAGAAGTGATTGTGAATTTAGAGACTTCACCTATAAAGGAGGCTAGTGTATTTACTATAAAAATTGTAAACATGGGTCCTGAATGTTGTAAACATTGTAAATATTGTAAACATTGTAATAGAAGTTAATGGGGACCCTCCAGGTCTAAGTAGGAAACCCTTAACATGCACATAAGTACTGTATAGGAG